GAGGTTATCACTCTTTTTGAGAGATAGCTGCGGTCTAAATTCCAATTAATTAATTTAATAACCTTCCAATATTTGATATATATGTTTTAAATATAAATGCTGTATAAAATAACGTATTTTGCAATTTATATTAACATCTATCAGAAAAACAAAGAAAATTGCAGTAATTAGTACAAAACTTTATATCAGTGTCCTTTCAAAACGACCCTAAATAGTTAGGTATATAGTTTTTATCACCAAACGTGAATTCAAATGAAAACAAAATCTGGTTGTTTGGGGCATGAAGTTACTAATTGAATACGAAATTCTAAAGCGTTTCTGATTAATTAATTAAAATAATATACAAATTAAAGTACAACAATTAATCGACTACAGAAAATGAAATAGTTACATGCTTCTGTTTTTTTGGTAATTTTAATTCCTTCATTAGCCGTCGATGAAATTGGATTCAGGTAGACCTTCATGTCTAGATTTAAAGTCTTTTCAGGACCAATTGATATTTAAATCCTGTCCGCGATGCGAATCGGTTCGCACTAAAATATGGAGTGTGCAATTTCTCACTCTCTCTACATAGATATATAAATTTTGAGGACCTAATGGTTATTGAGACTTTTGATTTACACATCAAGGACTACCTGAGTCCAAAGTTTAAGGAGAGTTTGACTGATTGAGGGTTATTTTCCATAAGGAAATTGTGGGGTCCTTCCTGCAAATGACGTTTACCTTGCTGTTTATTGGCATCAAGTAAATTAGTCAGTGTTCTGTCGAAGAGAACAGACAAAAATAGCGATCTATATCTGACAGATCACTGACTAAAAGAAGCTCGGTTTAAGAAAGGAACTTTCAATTTATTTTTCAAAATAATGAGTATTGGAGAAGATAATAATATTATTTATTATGGTACATACCAGAAATATCAGGTTAGCTAATGTTAATTCTTACTGAGCTGTTTCGTTAAGCAAATGAATGTCTGTAAATAGCTCTTCATTATCGCCGATTCATCATTGCAACACATGATATTAGGGAAGTTATTAACGTCATAAGATTAACTTTTATTCCTCAAAGTTAAAAACATAAATAATAGCATGCGGATGATGATAATAATAACAGGATTTGATGGGTTTTATAATACATAACATGATGTTACATTGCCCTATTAAGAGGTTACACTGATACCATTTCAATAACCGGTTATTTCCAGTTAACGAAGTGAACCAAAGCCCGTATCTTATCCGAATTACAGAAGCAAAAATTAATTCATTACTTTTTGTTAGTAACACGCAATTAACGCTATGTTTAAAAGATAATCAAAATCAACTTCGTACACGATTATTGACATGTTTCAACATTGAATGTGACAAATAAATAATTACTTCATTAATTGCTTGAGCGCCTTTTTTGAGCAATTCATCAAAACACTTGGAGATAATGATAATTACTTTGCACAATTATAATAAAAACCGATAGATGCTTACAATTATTCATTTTGGGTGGTTTATAGGGTCGATACTACTTTTATACATATAATTATAATTTAAATATACCGATATACCACGCAGCTCATTTCCTTTGCTAGGGGCGCAAGGTTAAAAAGGGGCGCGCGTGGAAGGTTCTAAACCTAAAAAAAAAAATAAGGAAGTACCTAATAAAAAAAAAATATTTTGCAAAATATATGACAGAGGGGCGTCTATGAGGTGCTAGCCTAGAGCGCTCTCGACACTTAATCCGCCTCTGTCTCCTTGGATATCTATATTTCATTATATTTTTTTTCTCAGGTCATGGTTCAAAATCTTTTGAAAACTTGGGGATTTGAGAAGCTGATAGCTCACTTTGGTACCGTCTGCAGCTTTTACAAAATTCGAAGGGATTGCACTGTGGCAGCTATGGAGAGACATTTGAAGGGTCTCTGTGACTGGGTGGTTCCATCTGGCGGCATGTTTGTTTGGATAAAAGTTCGCGGAGTAGGAGACGTCTACGATATGCTTTTGAACAGAGGGGTGAAAAATAAGCACGTTACCTTCGTTCCCGGCCACGCTTTCATGGCCGATCCTAATCAAGCCTGCAACTACATCAGGGCAGCTTTCAGCAAAGCTTCGCCCAAGCAAATCGACAAAGCTATGAGCCTTTTGGCGGAACTCATAAGAGAGGAAAAAGTTTTGTTGCAGAGGAAGTTGAGTAATTGTACTTAGTTTTTAATGTGGATGTAGTACGCCAGATGGAAGGCCTACGGTACACAATGTTTTCTACATACTTAGTAGCTCCAATTATACAGATTTCTGTTTTATAAAACGTGTAGGGGGTAAGAAGACGAGAAACCGATTAGATATCTATTGACAGTATCTTTGTGCTGTTTTTATTTACTTAATCGAAAAGCAAATTGATTTACTTCAAAAGTATACCTTCGATTGGAAGAAAATCAAACAAATTATTCTGCTCCCAGTGGGAGAAAAATAATAAGTAATAACAATGTTCCTTACTGGAATACTACATCCGATACCTATTATAAGTACGAATGTACTTTGCAGGGAAAATGACTTTTGTTGCTATGTACTATTACTATAGCAAATAGAGAAATACAATTAATTATATTTATATATTATCTATTTATTTATACACTATGAGTAGAATAACTATTTATATTATTAATTAAAACGTAGATATTGTTCTGCGCAAATTTCTTAGACTAGCAGGTAATTATTGATTGTATTATGTTTTTCTACAAAAAATATATAAAACTCAAAGTCACGGTTTTTATTTAAAGGGTATGCCTTAGAAACGTGTATCAACATCGGCTGATAGCGCCAATTAATATTAAACGAATGTCATATAAAATTTGCTTAAAACTTTAAACATAAATATTTTGCGCAATAATTAGCTGGCAGTGCCATAAAAAGTTAATCTATCAGAACAATATTTTGCTTCCATGTTTACAAATGATATCGTCAATATTATTCCTAAAAATATAGGAGTATAAAGTAAAATGCATCTTGTTATCTTGTTTCTATGTTAATAAATTCTTACATCATGAATGCGATTTAAAGTTTTTTTAAGAAATTTTAAATATTGTGCAATTTAAATTGATTGTGAGGGATAGAAAGCTCAAAAATTAAAACGAAAACATGTCAAAGAACGTTGTAAAATAATCACGAAAAGTAAAATTAAATATCCCACATTTGCTTATAAAAAATAGTTTCTTTTAAGTTCATTATAGCAAACTTTACCTTTTACCTCATTAATTATTTATGTTTAAAACGTTAAAATATAGATGGAGGTGAGATTCAATAAGCTTGTAAGTATTTTCTACTAAAACAAATGCAACCATTTTTCAATAAATTATCCTTCTTAGGATAGGTACTAGCTAACTATTGCTTTAAGTTATAAATAACATATTTAAATATTAACAATATTAATACCTTTCAACATACGAGAAATTAAAATTCACACTCGCAAGTAATGTAGACTCAAAAAACATTAGAAATAGATTAATAATATTTAGCAATTATTTATAGTTGACGTAAGATCATCTGTCATTGTTATTTACCCTTAATTATTTCTGTAGTTTTCCATTACGGTATGACTTTGTTGTAGAATAGCAGCCATAGTCGCTCATATGCTTTATCAACGATAAACTTTCAAGTTTGTTTTCCTTTTACTGCAGTTAATTGTACACCCCCTGATAAATGAGACAGACGTATACAGTTTTTGTACGAGAAAATGTATTTAGGCTTATAATTTTCAGCGTTTTTAAAGTTTTGATTGACAAATGTCAGTTTTGTGATTTTGATATTTTAAAGTGACAAATTAAAAGAATACGAACAATGACTAGCAATTTTCTGGTTGTTTGCATCACCGACCAAAAATAACGGTAATAAATTTGATAAAGCATTTCGAAACAGAAAAGAAACAATGCTGGTAAAGGCATTGAGATATTTATTTATGAGATAACAGAATAACGACAGAAATTCTTTATAGTTCCTGTGTTTTGATTTGATTCTTAAAATTAGTAACATTCAAACGCGCATATTACATCGACTGTATCTTAGTGGTATTCTTATTGGTACCTTGCAATGAATGAATTTACACTAAACCGTAAGAAGTCAATGCTATGGGTACGTATATATACCTTCATTATCATCAAAAGGTCGTCAGTCCTAAGACTGGTTGGACACGCATCTTCACTCTTCCCCGAAAGGTCTACTATCTCTACTCCTCTTAACTCAGGTTTCTGCTTTTAATTTTTTTCAGTTTGTTTTCTATCTAGCCCTTCATGCCTGAAAAGGTATCCTACTAACCTATCTCGTTTAATTTATTATTGACCTCCATCTGTTCTCCTCATCATTATAAGGTCGTTAGTCCTAAGACTGGTTGGACACCTTATTCCTTTCCTTTTCCTATTCTGAGTTAATTTTCGCGTTTTCCTAAAACCAGAACATCCCATATCCTTAACTGTTTGTGAACAGTAATCTAATTTAGGTCTACCTCTACACCTCTAACTCCTGTTTCTGTTACTAATATGTCTCTACCTAGCTCTTCATGCCTGAGAAGGTGTCCTATCAACCTATTTCGCCTATTTCTTATTGACTTCCTTAATGACCTCTGTGTTCTCCTATTCTTTCTAAAACCTCATTTCTAACCTTCTCTATCCACGGTATCCTCATAATTTGTTTATAACACTACATGTATTTCGAATGTGCCCCGCTCACCGTCCAAGTTTCGCACCCGTACAGCGCCGTGCTCCAGACATATACTTTTAATAATCTTCTAAATTAATCGTTTGCGAGCACCGAAGTGACTCCTTTTCGTTGAAGGTGACTCGACCCTGCGCTATCCTCTGTTTTATATTTATACTGCTTGTTTCATCCAGAGTGACTTTCTAGATACCGAAAATTAATTACTTTCTAATTTTTCCCCTTCTATCTTAATATTCGCTCTTTCCTTACTTTTTCTTCCCTTGCATACCAGTATTTTTATATATTTTAAAAGGTGGTGCTGATTGAATTAAATACCTTATAAAGAATATTTACATGTAATTTTTGTAACACATTTTTTTCCTTTCATTGCGTCTATTAGAGATAAGTGACATTCCAATCATAAAGGAGGCGGTAGGAAAAGTTCCCCAGAGGGAGCAGGTTAACTTTTACACAATATAACTTAGCTAACCATATCTAATCTAGGTTATGTTAGTTTAGATAGGGTAGATGACTTTATGGTGGGTATCCCCCTTTCATTTGGGGGATTTTCCTAACCCATCTCATGGTTGAGGCTTCAAATACAGTAAATATTGCCGTATATTTATGATTAGTTCCACACAGTGACTGTTAAACTCACGGAAGGCATATGTACCTAGGCATAAAGCGCTTATCTACAAATGAAAATTGTTTAAAACGTCTTCTCCCTAATTTTTTCACGAAAGTTTTTAAGCCATTTCCAAGAAATGAAAGTTAAGTTGCTGTGATTCGGAAATTTTATGTTATGTTATGCCACATAGTAGGGAATTAAATGGGATAATTCTACAACTAAATTATCCTGCGATGTCTCTACGTCCCTTCGCCTAACATTCAGTATAAGAGCGCCTTTTGCAATCCTTAGATATCGTATTACCTATGATGAATATTAAAAAAAAAGGTTTTAATACCATGTATAGGATACTTTTCATATCATTTTTAAAAAATTTTGTTGTTTTTGTATTTAATAAACGGCAAGTGCATTTGTCCCAAATTAAGGGCTTTCGGGAGTTTTACAATGTGAAAAAGATTAGTTTTGCATGAAGAAATGTAAAATTGGGTTATTTAGTATTTCCTGTACAAAACTAACATTTTTACACTGTAACTCCCGAAAAGTTACATAAAAGTTTATATTCTATAGTTATACTGAACAAACGCGTAATAATTTGCGGAATGCTCAGTGTGCAAATATGATTGCAGCACTTGCCCAGCTTCTTTTTTTTGATTTTGAGGAGATGCTCCTCTAAATAAGTAAAGAAGTTTACTTAGACTTTCAAATATGAAAACAAACATGACGCTTCTTTAAGATTTATACCGTGAGTTATTTGAAAGTTTACTTGGGGGTGGAAATCCATTAGAGAGCTAACGCGAAAAGCTGGGCGGAGCGCTTCTATATTAATTAAAGGCTACCTGTCACGAACCGGTTCATCTGTGTTGATGGATGGTTCCAGTGGCGTGCTCGCACATAAAGTGAAGAATTAAGCGTTTAAAACAACGGCTCAGCAATAACTTTATCTTTGTAATAGTTTTTAAAAACATTTCTATTTTTCCTAATAAACGAATGCTTGAAGTCCTTGGAATTTGGTGGATTGTGTAACTGTGAATCTATGGTAATAAGCATTTTATGAAAAACGAATGGAGAAGTCGTATGGTAGCTGTTTGTGAATCATTGGTCCGTTTTTCCATTTTTATCCAATTTTAAAATATTGTTTATCATTGAGAGATAGAAAAGACTGATAGTTTGGGCTTCAGGACTTAGGAAATAATATGTTAAACTATTAAATATATTCTAGTAACGGCTAATATTGAGGAATCCATGGGCCCGTAGTCGTTTTTCTATTGGGTGGTTTAGAAATTCACCGTTTTGAAAATTATTTTGCTACTCAAACAAATTACGTTTCTTTTTTGCCTTGGCGGGTCACGTAGTTATAGATCTTTCGGAATTAGTATGATGTCATTGGTAGAGACACATAACGATCGCCTTCTATTGGCGAAATCGATGAAAAGTAGTGCAAAGTTAATACATAACGTAATGTTACCGGATGTTTGTTTCTGAAGTCATTTCCAAAATGTTCCCTTTTTTTCTAACCTTTCTCTAACAACTTAACTGTTCATTTAAAACATTTAAAAAGAATCCTTTTATGAGAAAATTGTGTTCGGTATAATTTGTGATGCTGATTTATTTCTTTATTGGAGATCTATTTTATCGGCGGCCGATGTCCTTCTTCTGTGTTTAGTATCTATAATTATCTAATAAAATACATTTAGTTGTTGAAAATTCATGACCGTAGAAATGAAAAAATTCGAAAATATATAATTATTCGATTTGAACACTATCCCGATCCCGCATATCCCGACTTTTGATTTCATGGCAACGACGCTGTTCACAAAAGATACACCTTGTGACAACTGGATGATAGAATATTAACTTGGGCTGNAAATTCCAATTAATTAATTTAATAACCTTCCAATATTTGATATATATGTTTTAAATATAAATGCTGTATAAAATAACGTATTTTGCAATTTATATTAACATCTATCAGAAAAACAAAGAAAATTGCAGTAATTAGTACAAAACTTTATATCAGTGTCCTTTCAAAACGACCCTAAATAGTTAGGTATATAGTTTTTATCACCAAACGTGAATTCAAATGAAAACAAAATCTGGTTGTTTGGGGCATGAAGTTACTAATTGAATACGAAATTCTAAAGCGTTTCTGATTAATTAATTAAAATAATATACAAATTAAAGTACAACAATTAATCGACTACAGAAAATGAAATAGTTACATGCTTCTGTTTTTTTGGTAATTTTAATTCCTTCATTAGCCGTCGATGAAATTGGATTCAGGTAGACCTTCATGTCTAGATTTAAAGTCTTTTCAGGACCAATTGATATTTAAATCCTGTCCGCGATGCGAATCGGTTCGCACTAAAATATGGAGTGTGCAATTTCTCACTCTCTCTACATAGATATATAAATTTTGAGGACCTAATGGTTATTGAGACTTTTGATTTACACATCAAGGACTACCTGAGTCCAAAGTTTAAGGAGAGTTTGACTGATTGAGGGTTATTTTCCATAAGGAAATTGTGGGGTCCTTCCTGCAAATGACGTTTACCTTGCTGTTTATTGGCATCAAGTAAATTAGTCAGTGTTCTGTCGAAGAGAACAGACAAAAATAGCGATCTATATCTGACAGATCACTGACTAAAAGAAGCTCGGTTTAAGAAAGGAACTTTCAATTTATTTTTCAAAATAATGAGTATTGGAGAAGATAATAATATTATTTATTATGGTACATACCAGAAATATCAGGTTAGCTAATGTTAATTCTTACTGAGCTGTTTCGTTAAGCAAATGAATGTCTGTAAATAGCTCTTCATTATCGCCGATTCATCATTGCAACACATGATATTAGGGAAGTTATTAACGTCATAAGATTAACTTTTATTCCTCAAAGTTAAAAACATAAATAATAGCATGCGGATGATGATAATAATAACAGGATTTGATGGGTTTTATAATACATAACATGATGTTACATTGCCCTATTAAGAGGTTACACTGATACCATTTCAATAACCGGTTATTTCCAGTTAACGAAGTGAACCAAAGCCCGTATCTTATCCGAATTACAGAAGCAAAAATTAATTCATTACTTTTTGTTAGTAACACGCAATTAACGCTATGTTTAAAAGATAATCAAAATCAACTTCGTACACGATTATTGACATGTTTCAACATTGAATGTGACAAATAAATAATTACTTCATTAATTGCTTGAGCGCCTTTTTTGAGCAATTCATCAAAACACTTGGAGATAATGATAATTACTTTGCACAATTATAATAAAAACCGATAGATGCTTACAATTATTCATTTTGGGTGGTTTATAGGGTCGATACTACTTTTATACATATAATTATAATTTAAATATACCGATATACCACGCAGCTCATTTCCTTTGCTAGGGGCGCAAGGTTAAAAAGGGGCGCGCGTGGAAGGTTCTAAACCTAAAAAAAAAAATAGGAAGTATCCAATTAAAAAAAAAGTATTTTGCAAATATATGACCGCCAGAGGGGCGTCTGTGAGGTGCTAGCCTAGAGCGCTCTTGACATTTAATCCGCCTCTGGTCTGGATAATAGAAAAGGTTAGAAGTAAGGAGGTATTGAGGAGTAGGAGAGCTAAAGGCGCTACGGAAGTCACTAGGAAGGAGGCGAGACAGATTTGCAGGACACCTTCTCGGTCATGATATATATTAGAAGCAAGAACAGGAGTTAAGAGAGTGAAAGAAGTAGATCAGTGCTTACAAATAGAAATTTAAGTTGATCTAGTTTTCGAGAAGTACGATAAATTTTTACATCAGGTTTTTATGAAG